CTCAGTTATACACCCTAAAATGTAGGCTTTATGTTGTCATTTTTAGGGAGAGTTTGTATTTGAGGCTCTGACCACTCTGTTGCTTCGCTGTATTTATTGTTTTACTTGTGATTTTTCTGCCTGTAGATTGGACCTGATGGTATGGCCAGATTGAGCAGTTCAGCTCTCAACAATGAATTCTTTACCCACGCCTCGCAGAGCTGGAAAGAAAGGCTGGCTGAGGGTAAGTTATTGGTCAATCATGGACAAACGGCCACATTTTACAGATACTTCTGCCAGACCTTTGGAAACACATTAGATGAGACATGATAAGAATTTATTTTTCAGTGTCAGGAATGAGCTTGTGACAGCAGCAGCAGCAGCAGCAAAAAGAAACCAAAAGGCTGCAGGAACGTTACACACCAGCAGTGATGCCAAAAGGCAACACGGTGTCCTTATTATGCAACCATAATAAATCATAAATAGTTATGATTATGCAACAGAGTGCATAATCTTGGTGAACCAGCGTATTTGGTTACCTGATTGAGAAAATGTCTTAGCTTCATGCTTGTGAAGGTCGTGCCGTCCTGACTCAAGGGTTAACCTACAAAAGAAATCCAGATGATTTCTCCTCAAGCTCCTACCATGACCTGAATGACTGAGAATCTACACAGATGTAACACAAGCTTCTTATTTAAAAAGTTCTGGGCAATTAGGTCAAGTTTGTACTAAAATTAGACGTGTGCAGAAAAACTGAGTTGTGGAGCTGCTTTTACATGTCACACATGTTTGACCTGTTTAGGTGAGTTCACCCACGAGATGCAAGTGCGTTTCCGACAAGAAATGGAAAAAGAGAAGAAGGTAGAGGCGTGGAAGGAGAAGTTTTTTGAAGAGTATCACGGTCAAAAGTAAGAGCCAATGCATTTCTTTGAAAATTGAACTCACTGGTCCCATAGCAGCCATTTGACTAGATGTTGAACACCACCAATATCCATTTTCTTTGCTATTCTCATCATAAAGACAGCTAGACTATGGCTAACATCGGTCATGATATCCACAATCTGCTAAAACATTCCTCATGTACCTGTAGGTCTGGCCTGACACGAGAGGAGTCCCTCAAGCTCACCATGACCGAAGCCAGTGAAGTTACAGCAAGTGTGCTCGACACTGATGTGGCCGTGGTGGCAACTGGTGCCCCCAAAAGACGCAGCGTGGGTCGGCGGAGGAGAGATGGCAGGATGAGGAGACGCACACGGGCTGACCTGCGTCGCAGAGCCCGCCGGACCCTCTGCAAGACCACGCCGGCCCTGCAGTCTGCAGAAGCTGAGGCCAGTCCTGAAGTGGACGTCTCGGCGGTCTCTGTTGGTTCTCCCATGTCCGACAACACAGTGGTTCAAGGAGAGGTGGTGCTGCAGGCTGACTGTGGCATGGAGCTTCCAGCTGAGCCTGCCCCCTCAGAGTCAAAGGCCTCTCCTCCTCCAGAGCCAGTCACATTGCCAACTCCCACTCCTGCTCCAACTCCCAGCCCCAGCCCCAGCCCAGCTTCCACATGTGCAAATGAGGAGCCTGAAATTTCCGCCCACCTGCTCTCGGAGGAGACGGCACCTGTACTGGCTTCCACAACCTCTCCATCTTCCTCCTCCTCCTCTTCTTCGTCTGCCTCCTCGCCTGCCTCCTCACCCTCCTCACCTTCTGATAGGCAGGGAGCTTTTGCTGCAGGCCTGGATTCTTCTTCATCCTCCTCGGCGTCCTCCAGTGCCGCAGTCGCTGTTGATCCCCTTGATGACACTGCCTCCGTGGTCACCTCCATCACAGGGGGCACTGCTACCAGCAGCCGTGAAAGCAGCCCATCAGCCAGCCCAGCCACCACCCCTGTCCTCAGCACCCACCTCAAGGAGCAGAAGAGAAGGCCAGATGAGACTGAGGCCTTTTCCAGCTTCCCCGAAAAGAGGCCGCGGCTTGATGACCGTCAGTCCTTTCGTACCACAATTGACAGTGTCCGTTCAGAGAAGCCGCAGCCGACAACAGAAGAACCCAAGGTGCCGCCTATCCGGGTAAGGCCAAAAGCTTCAAGAATCCTTATGTTTGCACCCAGTTTTTTATTCCTGAATAATTTGTTTAGTAAAGTTTCAACTTCTGTTCTTGTCTCTGTCTCAGATTCAACTGTCCAGAATCAAACCTCCATGGGTCAAAGGGCACCCCACCTACCAGATCTGCCCAAGGATCGTGCCGCCCAATGAGGGCTCGCGGCGGTCGGGGACCGGCGGGGCGCGTACCTTGGCGGACATCAAAGCCCGTGCCCAGCAAGCCCGGGCCCAGCGCGAGGCCGCTGCTGCTGTTGCAGCCTCTGGCGACGGGACAGGGCCGCCCAGCGTCAGGCTGCGGCCTGCTGCTGGGCTACCGGATAGCAGCAATGGACGACGAGCGCGAGAGCATCCGGGACCTATCGAGCCCGGAGGAGGAGGAGGAGGAGGAGGAAACGGAGATGGAAATGGAAGAAGGAGAGGTAGTGGGATGGAGGAGCAGGGATCGTCTTCAGGCACTAATTCGTCTGGAACACAACTACAGCTTCTCAATGTAGAGGCCACACCCCAGCCTTCCCCTTCATTGTCCACGACTTCAACCTCATTGTCCTTGGAGCCTGTACAGACCCCAAGTCCTCGTCAAGATGAGACAGCTCAGGGGCCAGAGGTTGGAGAAGAAGTCGAAGCAACATCAGCCACTGTCCAGAACACCTCCAATGGGTTTACAGAGAGGTCTTGCAGCCTCTCTCCAGAGGAAGACACTGGATCTGAGTCGTCAGCCAGGAAAAGCAAGGTGCAAGAGTCTGCCGCTGCCCCCTCAGAGAGGGCAGACAAGGGTTGTGAAAAACCTGTACTAGCCCCAACCTCAATCCCAGATTCCCTTCCCAGATTTGGGGCTCAGGGTGTAGATGTAATTCAGACACTGGCCAGTTCTTGTCAGGCCAAAGATAAGGAACAAAGGAAAGAAGCTGGACTGTGTGGCGTTATCCAGCATGGTTCTCACCATGTGGACCCCCAAGACACATTCTCCAGCTCAGCTACTGAGAGACAGCAAACAGATTTGTCCTCTCCCCAACACGGGAACTGTGGAGGAGAGAAAGATGACGAGGCTGGCATACATAGCGACTCGACAGAAACGGCTTCAGACTGTGAGAATGAGAGCCAGGAGGATGAGCAGCAGCAGCAGCCGGACCAGGCCTGGTGCCCCCAACTGAGCACCCAGAGAAATGGCCAGTTGGTCATCTGCAGCCCTCCTCCTCAGAACCAGCAGCCAGTCATCCAGGCCCATGTATCCAGCCGCCAAGGTCAGACCGTCATTCAGCCTCGCTTCCCCAACGGTCTGCTTCATCCGCAACACAGCCGCCCTCATTCCCAGGAACACCACTCGCTCCCCACTCCAATCCCACAGGGACTAAGGGACACCAATGTTGTGGTGAAAATGGAGCCTGAAGACGACTGTAGATCCTCCAGACAAAGTTCTGCTGAAGATGAGTCTCGTGGAGCTTTAAGGCCCTCTGACTCTCACCCAAACGCTGTGGCGGTCTCCAAAAGACTGGCTAGCTCAGCCAGACCTGTTTCCAGTGTGGAGGCCAATAACCCTTTGGTCACTCAGCTACTACAAGGCAGCCTGCCCCTGGAGAAAGTTCTGCCCTCGCACTCCGCCAATAGGCTGGAGATCAGCCGATTACCAGGACCCCAATCCAGACCACCCCTGGGGAGGATCGCAGGGCCTCGCAACAGACCTGAGGTGTCAGTCCAGTCTTCTAGCGTGGAACTGACAACAGTCTCTCCAACAAGCCGCTCGGTCTCCTGTCTGATGGAGGCCCCAGCTGCATTGCAGTACCAGTCCCAGCAGGCCCCTGGTGCTGTCCCGGTCATCACCTCCCTTCCACCCTCCTCCAGTTCTTTGTCCTCTAGAAGTAAGTCAGACCTTAGTTCTCTGACTGCTGTGGAGTCTGCAGTTATCAAAGAGTCCCATGGTCCTCTGCCCTCACAGGGGGCCACTCCAGATAAGACCCAACCAGCCCATCAGACCATACCTAACGGCCCCTGTCCTCCCACCAGTACAGACGTCTATCCCGCAGACGCAGTGCCTACGATTAGGATTAACTGGAAGCCCCCACAGTCTCAGCTCTCCCACCTTCACCAACAGCAGCTATCTCCTGCACCCACTGTAAAGAATGAAGTCGGTGTGCGGCCCTCTTGCCAGGCTCTTGCCAAATCCTCCCCCACTATACCTTTAAGTGTTACCAAAAAGGAGCCTGGGAACTCTGTGGACAGCTACTTGAGTGGAGGGGCGATGGAGGGCCTCCTCAACATGGAGATGACTTTGGCCAGGATGGCAAAGAAAGAGCATAGCAAAGGCCCCTACTCCTCCGGCTCACCCTCCTCCTCCTCTCCCTCGCCCTCCTCCTCCGCTTCGTCCCTTCCCTTCCAGTTGTACGGGAAGCTTCCCAAGCAAGGCGGAGGAGTAAGTTACACAGCCAACGTGTCAGTGATGGACAACAGCGGTTTTTCCCGGAGCATGGCAGAAGGCGTGCTCCAACTGCGCCCACGCTTGGCCTCCAGCCAGACTACCCTCAGTATCCAGGCCTTTACTGACAGTACGGCCGAGGAGGTGGCACTCAAGTGCTCGTGCCGCCTCAAAGCCATGATCATGTGCCAAGGCTGTGGTGCCTTCTGCCATGACGATTGCATCGGGCCCTCCAAACTCTGCGTGTCGTGTCTGGTGGTGAGATAGTATGCTGAAGTCCCTGTGCACTGTAGAACTGCTATTTGTATAGTATTAGCAGCAGGACTGGGGGACTCCAGAGTGTACAGAAGCCTGATTAGGGTAGAGCACACAGGAGGAGCCTGATAGGCAAGATTTGCCTTGTATAATATCATTGGTATGTATTTTTTTTTTTGTTGTTGCAGATTTTCAGATTTTTCTTTCGCTGTACTGATATTGTTGTTGTTGTTATAATTATTATTATTATTATTATTATTATTATTATTATTGTGAATTTGGGGCATGATTGATTGTAAATTGTGCCTTTTTGGTTTTCTCTCCTCAAAAACATTTACCTCATCTTATCTTGCTCCACCTGTCATTATTTGGTGGCCATCATTGTTTTGGTCCCTTGTTTCCTCGGCAAACAAGGAATTATTGTCGTCTCTGCGCAAAGAAGTATTTTTTTAACCATTAAAATGAATAAATGACGTTGTTTGACTTGTATTTTCTGGATTCAAGTCTATGTACAGTTGTGAACCGAAGCACTTGTCAAGACTCTCGTATCATAGCAGCGATAAGTAGTTCCAACGATTCCTTTAAGTCAGTTTTTTTTTCAATGATTGAAAGACGTGTCTTTGTCACAAAAAAAGCAATCGTGCATTTTGGTTGTTTCGTAAATTTATTGTAGGTCTTTTGGAGTAATGACCAAACTTATTGGGCCAAAAATATACATACAACAACTTGAGTTATTAGTTTTGATGATGCACAAAGTTGTCTTCGTAGCATGACGTCTTACCTTCCTGCATTGATTACAGCTGCTGACTTCTCAGACCCAGTTTAAATATATTTGATTCATTCATTAGAGTCTATTTAGCTGA